CCCTCAGATTGTGCTTAAATACAGCTACACTTAGTGCAGAGCAGTCAGTCACCCCCTCTGTACATGGCGTTAGGCATCCCAAAAAGCCTGTTCTCAAAGTCCATCAACTGTATTAAACAGACTATACGGATAGGTATAAGCACACACCTGGCCCACCCTGCCTAGACCAGCTAATAACATGTCACTTCTCCCTTCTTTTTAGGTCTCGATCATCTTAGTCCATCTCTGCATGAATGGAAATTAATCACAAACATTCAAGTGTTTTCAAGTGAGAAAGGGAGGCACTTTGAGTCTCACACTGCTGGCTGCTACACCTGTCTCTTAATTACATATAAAGCGCTTTGATGCTGCTCAGAGCATAAGTATTCAACTACTTATCAATTCAAACTATGAATTATTATGAAATAAAGAAAGGGACACAGCAGGGAGACCTCCAAATCACACTGACTGCAGTCATAAGTAAAAATAAGCGACGCCCAAGCACGGTGTTTTGCTGAGCATGTAGCTGTCCAAGAAGGTGTGTCATGCTTCACGGCCAGCCTGCAGCCCAGGACCTGCACGCCACCCCAAAGCTGAACACAAGCACCATGAAGCAATTCCTGCTTATTGGGACATCTTTGGCTCACAGAGGTGCATTTGGCTACGTGCGCTCTTTAAAAATCAACATTGCTGAAACAGGGAACATAAACAAAGGAGGTCAGAATCACCTGCAAGTACTTTACCAATGCAAGATAATTACTACCATTCACTTCAAACAGCAAAAAACCGATTAGCAAGAACTTAGCCAGGAAAGTAGGCAAAAACTCTCCGCTATATATCTGCAAACAGCATCACCAGATTTACAGTTAACATGTGCAGTCATGACCACACTGAGTTAAGATCGCAGGAGCAGGGCATGACACTACCCATGGGGCACCCCTGAACTGAGTGGCCACAGAGGAGACAGCTGCCTGAGCCATGCAATCACATCCCTAATCACAACACACCCAGCGGTCACCTCTGCCATAAAGAGGTATCCAAGGCTCTTGTCATTCATTCGAAAAAGTCTTTCCTCTGTGTGAGGCCACTTAGCGCAAAGCAGTCGCGCTCCTTTAATTTAAGGAGCACATCCCTGAAGCTACTTCAGGCTTTTCTCCCACAACACAAAGTCCTACGATGCAACAAGGGCAAAAGCCAGTGTGGGAGGCTGTGAATGCGCAAAGTCCAAACTAGAAGGAACCTAAGAAAGAAGCGACTTCTCATCCTCCAAAGCCTTGTCTGCATCCATACTTGCAGATTAGCACCCCGTTGTCAATCAGATAAGCAGGAAGGTCTTCTAAAATGAAGTGTTAGCCTGCTCCCTACTATGGCTGTTCAGCTAGGCCACAGCTCAATACAAGGCAGAGCAGAAGCATGGACTGACCACCGCCTTGCTACTTCACGTATCGCCATTAGGGGAATCCTTCTAGTAAGCTGTCACTGTTACCCATGGGGCTGTCAAATACGAAGTCCTTGAGAGGGGGCTAGAATGGTCTTGGTTGCAACAGAATGATGTTCTATACACTCAGCCCATTTCAAAAGCCTCCAGTCAGTAACTGTGTCTCTTGACACCTATCCTCCACAGGTAGGACTTCCAATTTCTTTTTAAAGGGCTGGGTTTTTTTTTCCCAGATTAGAAAGAACATACAAAGATCTTACCTAGCACAAACTTTTTTCCAGGAGAGGCAAAAATTCAGTAATGGAAGAAAAAGGGAAAGGAAAGACTTAAAAAACAGCCTTGGGAACTGTAGGGCAAGAGAAATGAGTTGTCCTTTAGCAAAGCTGTGGTGAAAAAACACTGCTTCCGCAAGGTCACCTAAAAGCAGCGAAGGACTGCAGTGAAGCGCCGAGAGCTCTCCGAGGGCATGAGAACCTCAACTCAAGATGAACTGAGGTTTTTTACTTATTTCCGCTGCTGGGAACAGCCCCCTCCTCATTGCAATGTTAATTTCCAACAAAATATGGAAACAACAACTACCTTGTTAAACTAAATTATTAAACTACCTTATAATAAGACAAGCACAGGCAGGAGCAGTTTCTACGGACAACTGACCGGCTGAGACTTGCCCCTGTAGCCATACCTCACTAGGAGGTTGATGGGAGGCTACAAACTGTTGTAACCTCTTCTTCCCCATGCAGCTAGCGACATTTGCTCAGGCATTTGCTCATTGAGACAGAGTATTGCTCGTTAACCTGCCTGAGAAACCTTTTTTCCCCTCTAACACAACCCCAAGATTCTGTGAATCCTTCTCACATTCATATAAATACATATTAGGAAATCTACTTGAAAGTGCTTATGTTGAAATTTGTCTGCAACTCCTTTGTTTAAAGTTCACTAGTGTTTTACAAAGGCTGTCTGCAGTAGCGGTAGAATTGCTCAAGTACAGCTCCTGAAATGTGAAATTAAAAAAACCAACAACAAAACAAGGCCTCTTACTATATCAGCAGGATAATATCTGCATGGGTTTTTTTTCTACGTAAAAAGGAGATTGTTTCTTACATAGTTGTCAATGAATTTTTACAGCATGGGATGACTCCTCTAATAAATAAAAATATTCATTACAGCAGAGATGCACTCAGCAAGCTTCTCTGGACGAACAAACGAGATCATCCTGAAAAAAAACATTGTTTGGCTGAACGCAAGTGTCACTACTAAAATCACCATACCACGTGGCTTTTTTCCTCAGATGCCTCCTTCCCCTTCAGTATGAATGCATCCAGGACAATTTCTCCCTTTACTGAGTGCTGTGAACGAATTACATTCAGGAGACTTAAGCCACCTAGCCATGGCAATGCTGCTAGTCCACCAGAGAGCACTAACCATGGGCCGTGCTGAGACCAAGACGCCCAAGACTGCTGAAGTCAACTCATGCTTTATAGAGTGAATTCAGTACCTGACATGTTAACAAGTACCAACTCATTTTAATAAGTTTGTTTACATTTCAAGTAAACTAACAAATGTTGATAAAGTTCTCTTCATCTCAAAATCACAGAAAACGTTCTGTGAGAACAGTTACAGCTTACAGTTTGACATTAATCCAACTTAGATAAAATAGTATCTGGAATGATTCCACTGATTTCTGCAATTCACTGATAAAAAAACTACTCAAGCAGTAAACAGAAAACAATTATTAATTTTTAACCCTTATCTCAAAATATCTTTTTGAAGTTATTTAACAAAAATAAACAACTCTGTACTTAAAATAAATGATATAAAATTACAACAGCTCTTCACTTGTGAAACCTGTAGTATAATCTGTAGCAAATAAAGTTTTTCACTGGACAGTGAGCCTGGTTACAGACCTGTAAATAAAAGACTAGTGACGAAGTCTATGACACTGCCAGCATCCCAAAGGGAGATCTGCTGAGCTACACTCAATTTTATCATAGAAACATTCACCACAGTAACTCAAGAGACAAAAAAAGTAAATTACCATGGTTCTTCAAAAAAGAGGATACTACGGTTGCTATAGTGAAAAGCAAATATATAACTAACAATTTGTACAAAATACGGGCTGACAAATAGATGATATTTTCAGAGCAAGCATCTCAGATTTGGATTTTACCCTTCTGAAAATACATCAAGTGTTGCTACAGAATGAAAGGAAACTGTAAAGTTCAACAAAACTCTACAAGTAAAACAAGTATTTACTTTCAGAAAAAAATGAACATCACTCTAAAGCAGTTCTGGCTGTCCAAATCTGTGACTCTGGAAAGAAAACTGCTTCCTTCCTACATGTGAAGCAACTAAGAATTAACCGATACTTCTCTCTTACATGAATTTAAAATACAGTTTTTACGTTTCCGTTGATCCGCTTTAACAGTCAGAAAAGCAAGGGGAGCTGGGAGGAGTTTGACTAGCCAAGCAACGAATGTTCTTGACAAAGCTTTATTCTGATTTGGTTATTTTGTTTCCTGAATGTAAGTGGCAGAAAGAATGAATGAATTATAATACAGGGATACCAAACTAACTTTTTTTTGACTAAGAGTGACCAAAATACATCATTCTGCTTTTCAGAACAAGCTATTCTAATGCAAAGCTGATCACATTAATGTTGTACTTCATAACAGCCCATGGAGACAAAGCAAATTAACACTTTGGCCTCTTTTGAATATCATCTTCTCTGGGGCCTTGGAAGAAAGCAGAAGTTGTTAACAATTACATGTGGCCTTTACTAATAAAATTGTATTAATCTTCTAATGTTAGATTTTGAGATAAAGGCATAGCTTCTTGGTGGCAGAGGTACAGGAAGATACCAAAATAGTTGAGCATATCTTTAACAACAACCACATAGCACAAAACGTTGACGATCTGGCATGTTTTGAACTTATTTTTACTTCAACTCATTTTTAAGTCCAAATGGCTGACAGCGTCTAAAAGCGGTATTAAATGAAGTGCAGCTATGAGTGTAGCATGAATAGGAGATACGATCCTCAAAGTGAAAATCTGAAGAACCTTCTCTTTTTAAATACAGGTTAAAAAAAATTGTATCATACTACATTAATGGAATTTTTATTCAATACACAGCTCTTCTATTTGATGCGGAAGCAGACAAACATATCTCAAAGAAAAAAACCAAAACAAACACCAGAGTACTTCTCTACCGCTTTAGAATTGATGAACATGCTCCCATTTCTCTTAGACTTTGTAAAAAAAAAAAAAAAAAAAATTACCAGCAGGAACTCTTAGAAGAGTGCCTTATCAGGAAAGGCCAGCCCGACCACTCGCTATTTCAGTTCTTCCAGCAATGTCTTATTTGTGTGCAATGAGCAATCAGACGCTAGATATCATTAGCGTATGGCATAGTGAATAAATACTACCCACAGGCTGGGGTGGAACAGCAGCGCACAGGCCCAATTGATCTTTGCATGTATTTAAATTACAAGTTCTTAAAAGCTTAACACTCTGCCTGGATTCCGCATATCAACCTTACTGCTAGGAAAGTTGCAAGCAACAACAAAATCCTCTGTATAAAAAAAAATGCTGTAACACAGGCTTCAAAGAGCAAAGAGCTTCCACACTCCTCTTTATTTCAACAGAGACAATTAGTTAAGGTGCTTTCAGATTCTGCATTGCAGACAGGTTGGCAGAGGTGGCCATTTAATAAGCTCTTAACAGTCTTTAGCGGGTATCTGAGAGCGGTTCCTGAGGCAGAAGCCCCGAAACTGCTAGTTTCTGTAGCGGGGCATCTGTGGAGCAGGGGCTCCCTCTAAGGGGGCTGAGGAGGAGACTGTCATAAGCTGTCCAGCATGCATTCTCTCATTCACCCGCAGTTCACAGCCATCCTGCAGCATCCTTATAGCTATCCTTGCAATGTTTTTAGAGTCGTCAAGTCCACTGTGAGGTCTCCCATCGTAATTCATGCCCAGCTTTTCAAGCATGATTGTCAGCTTGGTCTGGTTCCTAGGAACCTGATGGAGAAAGTGAACCACATTCAAGAATTAGGTTCTGTACCAAGTCTTTTTAATCCAACACAATGCAGTAGAAACATGCAGATTTTAAGTCTACTTAAATCACATACTACTTTCATGTTGCCTTTTGTCAGATTTAACTAGTGATTTAACTTCAAAGAACCTTGGTGAGACAGACACTCTCATTTTCACAGAGGAGACATAGTCAACAGGAGCTTGTCTAGACTCAGGATAATCTCAAGAGCCTCTCACCACTACCAGCACCAGCTCAAGATGTGCCAGTGCTGGCAACGGTGGAAGCCATGGCCTAGCTAGGTTTAACAAGCTTTATAAAAAAGGAATTACCACCCAAAGTGGCATTGCAGAGGGAATCAGGTTATGGTTTTCCTTTTAAATGCTAAGCGATTAAAGAAACACCAGGCTCCTGATTCTCACTGACATCAAGCTTCTGAATGCCTCCAAACACCACAGAAAGATCAGTGACACCTATAGCAGCCAATGTTTATGTGGATGACCAACAGCATGAACAGACAAGGAAGCTTAACTGACTTAACCATGCAAAGTGCTACACCAGCAAAACCCGCTTGTCCTCTCGATTAACTACTAAATATACTTTTGTGCTTTGGAAAGGTCAAAGAAAAACAAAAAGATAACTTTAAAGGAAAACTTCAGTTTGCTCTCTTGGTCGTGGTGGTTGGGGTGGGGGAACACAGGACATGGCAAGTTCCAGGATATCGCACCATACAACTGGATTTAATAGCTAGGCAAAATGGTGACAACATAGTTGCCAAAACCTGGCAATAGCAACTACAATAATAACACCCAGGGCAGGGGAGACATACCTGCAGGTTGTGGGATATTCCACGGGAAAGTTACAATACATTCCTTGTCATTAATTTTATCAATTACTATTACTTAACAACAGATTCAATAGCAGCACAGAATAGCTAAACAGAAGCACTGAACAACTATAAATGCTACAACTGTTTGCATTTATTTAAAAAAAAAAAATCACAAAAAGTAAAAAGAAACTGATTCGTTCTAAGTTACAATCTTCATTGCCTTTGATGAAAAAACACTCACTGCTCAACAGACAAGGAAAAAGGAAGGCATATTTAAGTTAAAGCTGACAGGACTAACAAGACCCTTCTGTGTTCTCACGTTTCCAACAGAAACGGTCATGCAGAGAAGGCACAATAACAGAGGGAGAAATGGAGTAACCCTGTAATATTTGCTCAGCGCAAAGTAAAGCTCTTCTCTTATTAAATGTTAACCTCTTTTTTCTAGATGTTACACTTATTATGAAAAAGCCCTTCAAGAGAAGATGGTCAGCTAGGCTGAAATCGTATTCAAACAAATGGTTTAGTGTAGACTGACTAGGAATTTGCTAGAATCTCCAATAACCTATTTTACGGTAATCTGACCATGAAAGAAAGCAGCAATAGGGTCCAGCACTGAACTTGGTATTACTTTTCTCTTGACAATTTGATCCAACTGTAGATATGTCCTAATCTTTCTCTGTTCCCATTACACTGTCAAAAGTGGAGATATCTGAGGGTAGTGGTGCAAATTAGTTTTGTAGTGTATTACATGAAAACAGGAAAAAATAACTGAAAAATCAATACAGAGTCTTTTCAGCTGAACTACTTCAAGACACAGTTGATCTAAGAGCACCAGTATGACATTTTTAGACAATCCTTCATGGAGCATCTCCTCATTCTTAAAAACAAGATTAAAATCAAAATGCAGACGACTATATGATCTTCAATTAGTAAAGTGAGATCTGGGCATGAAGCACATTTGAAAATCAGGCCCCAGGCAACTAGTTTAAGTACTATAATTTTATACTACACAAGTAACGATGACAAGCACAACAGGCCATTCTAGACTTCTAAACCAAATTTTCCTGCAAGAGAAACAACAATCTGTACAAACCTTATAGAAGTTCCCATATGATTTGCGAATATTGATCCACTTTTTGGCAAAAGAAGGGTATTTGATATGGCTAATGCGGCACTGGATGTTCAAAAATTTACTCATATCCCAAGATCTTAAAAAGTCAAAAGAGAAAACAGAAAAACATTAGTAATATATAATTCAGATGCCCTGCGTTCTACATATTGCACAGCTGTAGCACTAACAGCTGTCTTGTCTTTGTTGGTCAGTAGAAGGAAAACAGTTTAGGAAAAGCTCTTTGCTATAATCATGGTAAAGAATTTTTTAATATGAATTTGTTAATTGTGGGGAAAACAAGTAATGACACGAGCAAGATTTTCACTAGGATGGTTTCAGGTCCAGGATGGTTAAAACAAAAAATAGCACGCCAACTTCTCCACCTACTACATCTACTCCAAAAACTGCCAATAAACTACACGCTTACACAGCCCTTGGGGAAGCAAGTGACACCTTAAATTTTCCTGATTACTTGGGTACGCGTGCATCTCTCTACTCAATGTAGGTTATTGAAACAAAACTGCACTTAGTTTTAGGAGAACCAGACCTTTATGGAAAGAAGATGAAACTATAACCCTATGCACTTCTGGCCTGCCTTCCTGAAGTGAACCATCCCAACAAGTCTGTAAGCTTCAAGCTAAAATAAAGCCTTTTTTTCCCCCCTCTCTTGCAGCTGTCTACACAATCTCACCTATATGACAGATTTCACTGCAGCCATTTTCCTTGAGGAATTTCACTGAGGGGATTGCCCTGGAGGGGAATGCCAGACACATTCTAGGCCCAGTAACATAACCAGTCTTGCACCAGTTTTGCTTTAGCATTTTCTTTTTTTAATTCACTGTTGCTTCCAAAGATAGAAACCTAATCATAGGTAAAAAATTAGCCAAATAGCAGTATTTACCACTGTTCCTTAAATGGATTAAAGTTGGAATGACATTATTTTAACTCCTTATTTTTAAGGTGTACACGGATCTAAACCATACACCTCAAGTCTTGTGTGACAGCTTTTAAATGGCTTCACTGTTCACACTGGACACAACCACATTTCAGTGATACAGGTTCTTCACCAGAAAAGACTGATTTATAGTCATTGTCCAAATCTTCAGGAATTTTGAGAAAAAAGTCTCATGGCCAAAAAAATTTTCCCGCTTGGTAAACTGGATTAGTTAAAAAAGGTTTTGTTATGTATCCATTCATCTCCTACAATACATTATTTTTCAAACCACTCATATTACAGACTATTTATCTGTGTTTTACTTGACAGAAGTGTTAGGAAGTCATACTAAGATCCCCCGTGCTCTTTTTTCATAAACTCGTTTTGTTTCGGGGTTCATCTCCCTTTGGTTTGACACAGTCATTGTAACAGAGTGGCACAGGATTGCCTTTTTAATCCAGCACAGCAGAAGACTTACTCCAGGCAAACAACAGGCGTAGCGACATGAAAATGCATCATTCAACTCAACATGGCTAATGTTAAAAACTCTCTGTGCTACTTAAATCCCTCATTCCAAGAGAAGGAGGAAAGCAGGCATGTTAACAGAATAGTAATGTTTCACAACTAAAAAGCAAGCATCACCTACGGAAAAATCCCCTGGCCAGTGCTATAAAAGATAAGGCTCAAACAGTGTCTTTCATTCTACAACAAAGCTAAGATCACAAGAACAATGTTGCATCTGAGATATATCTAGATCTCAAGATCTGTTCACTTTGCAGTCGTTAGGGGACTTGATTTTCCACACAGACCTTGTGAGAGAGCAAGTTCAGGGACTAGTCAATCCCTCACACACAAAGCTTGTCAGAGCTGGGACCCACCAGAGCCACAGCCCTCTAAGCCAAAGCAGAGAGCTTTCCATGCTAGCCGTTTCTCCCTGTTCGATAAACAGCATAATCCATTATTGCTTTCTGGCGAAGTATGCAGGATGTATTGACGGTAACACTAACACACACAGGATACAACACAACCACCACACATCTCTGAAACCTCGGATTCAGGAGAGCATGGGAGTTGCTTAGAACTGAAATTGCACAATGTTATTTTCAGATATTATGTGCTATATGAAAACAGAGAATTACAACAACAAAAAAGGATAAAGAGTCTGTTCAACATCATTTAGTTGCATACAGAAAGCTAGGAAAGAAACAGTGCCATCTAATGGATTTAAGCTTCATTTCAAATTGTTTAGTTCAGCTGTTCTGATTTTCCCGAAAACTAAAATTATAATAAAATGGCAAAATGGCAGTGTCATGATCCACCTTTAACAATACACTCACAAAGATTAAACACCGTTTTGCAGGTTTAGATCATGCTGAAGGTTACATAAGGACATACCCATCTGTCAACATGGAATAGCTATACTTTGTTCCCAGTTCTCGCTGTCTCATCCACTCTATGACATTCTGCAGGACTTGAGGAAATGCATCAGCTTTATCAACAATGTCCTAAGAGAACAAAAAAAACAAAAGTGAGGAACATTTTTTCAGAAAAAAAACAGCATGAAGTGTAAGAATTATATTGGTATATAGGCACTCGCTAAATCACTCGCTAAATTGGCTTCACAAAAGTCTTCACAAACAGATTACACATTAAAATAAGCAGACAATTGGACAGATTTTTCTAAACTGAAGAAAAGCACCACAAAAGCACCACTATAAGAGCCAACCTCCAAATGGCATCTATAAAAGGTAACAAGGTTAGACAGCTGTTGAACCTGGATTAAAACCTTGGAGCTTGTTTCCCAGGCTCCTGCTCAAGCCACTTGATCACAAGCCATTGCCACTGTAAGACTCTAAACCCTTTAGAATAAAAATCTTAGAAGAGGAACTGATGCAATTCACAAGGTGCTTTCGTCTGCTAAAGATTACGTTTCTACACATGGATTACAAAGTGAGTGCTTTTCCCTACAGCTCCATACAAACACCTAAATGACCAACTTAGTGAAATCAATTCTGTGATAATTGGGACAGGGGAAAAAACAAGGATTAAGAGAATAAGCCTTACAGAAAAATTACCATGAAAGATTACCAGTCCGAAAACATCAACACCACATCTCTCTTTTTTCATATTTTTTCCTGAATAAACAAAAGTGCGAATTACCTGGGTGATTCCTGTCAGACTGATGCAGAAGTTTGAAAGCTTGGGATTAATTTCTGGCTTCACGTATTGCTGAAAGGTATCCTCCTGTAATAAGAGAATCAAACACTCAGCCGCAGCACACTACGTAGCAACTTCTTTGGCTTGCCCATAGCTGAAAGGCAATAGCGGCTACCTGCCCTGCTTGAGGCAAAAAGGAGCGTGCACCTCCCCAGCCAATATGAGCACCCTGACTGGCCCTCGTGAGACTCCCAATGGGACGGATGAATGGCTTTCCAACTGGAACATGTCTTTCCTCTCAGCCAGTAGGCACCAAAGAGCAAGGATGGGGATGTAAGAGGGGAGAAGGACAGACTGCAATAAAGGGGAGGATTTGGGAAGAGGAGAGCACGAGTAAGGAAAAAAGAAGTGAGAGGCATGAGCAAAGCAAAGTTTTTTAGGCGGTATCTCTAAAGGCTCACCTGTAGTTCAAGGAAGGCAATGGCCACACATCTCAGAGGCTGCATGCAAGTCATACACCTCTGAATGCCAGCCAGTCAGAGATAAACACAATGACCTCACTCTGGGAAACTGAGCAGTACAAGAGTGAAGACTACATGCAAGTTTCATGGAAAAAATAAAGCCCCAAATCCCTGCTGCTATACAAAACCTTTTGGACAGAGGAAAAAACCATGCTGTTTCCTACTATTCTAAAGGTGATAAAACAATCTTTGTCATCTGCACAATCCTCTCTCTGCAGTTAGTCATACATGCAGCTACACTGTAATGTAGCATCACAGTGGCTACCGGAAAGCCTCCTCCTCTTAGAAGTTTTTGATAAATGAACCGTTAGTCAGAGGAGCGTGCACTTCTCCATTTCACTGAGTCACTCAGTTTCAGTTAGACAGCAAGTAGTTTTTCCTAAAAGAAAGCTGTACTGGAACAGAGCACTTGAGGCTGCCAAATGCCTAGGAAGTAAGTTTAAAATCAGGTTACACAGCTGTCAATCTGTCAGGTACATTGTAGAAATAGTCTAGCCCCCCAGGAAGCAGAGTTCACTCAACCCCACTTTCTAGACCTCTGCATTAGTCACTTCTAGATTGCCTCACACAGGACCACAGAATTTGCTAATTCTTGTTTATGATGAATCCCTTGAGTCCTAGAAATAGCTTTGTGGATCTGTAGAGGGAGTCAACAGCAGGAGCATGATCTATTCCAGATGCTTTAAGAATAGAAAGAAAGTTTTGTTTGTATGTAAGAGGCACAGAGGATAGGTCTTTATGAAAAAAAAAAAAGCTATTTTTAATGAAGTTCAGTATCTACCTAAAAACTAATCTAGACTTTCTGAAGCAAAGAAGTTACACTGAAGAACAGCATACCGACACAGTAATTAGATCACTTACTATTTCCAGGGTACGTGTGTTCAGTAAGACAATAGGAAACTCAATTATTTCATGTATGAATTCAGGTGGGTTTCCTTCTTCACATGTTGCTTCAAAGTCAACAACACAGATGTAGTCATAGTAGCTGTCTCCATTAATGGGTTCCTTCTGCATCAGCTTCTGTTTCTTATAATAGTTTTTCAGTCTCTTTTTCAGCACATCTTTCACTCCTCTAAAGAGATAAGGATAGCGACAAAGATCACACTCGCATTTAATTAATTATTTCACCATTGTAGAACTGAAGCTATATTTAACATTTAAATGTTCAGCATTTATTAAGCTCATTTTGAACACCAGAACTTATGAAGTCTGAATTCAACTTTATCATACAGTTAATGCTCCATCATCTGGGATAATGCAGAGGCTGCGATATGCCCCCCCCGACAACTAGAACATCTAGATCATATCAGTATTTGGGGACAGGCTAGGAAGCACAGTGCAGAGACACTGCAGTCACCTCCAGTTCAGCAAGTCTCAGTAGCCGAAGCCTTTGCAGATTGTTACTAGATGACCTCTGGTCCTGGAAGCAGTACTGCTTCACCTGTACTTCCCTGTGCCCTCTGCCTGAAGCGACTGATACCTGAGGTATTTCTGCATCAGTGGCACAGATAATGCAGAACCCAGCTAAAATGCCCACATTTTAAGTTTGTCTCAATTTAAATTTAAAATTGAGCTTGAGTAACTCAAAGCAAAGTACTCAAGATTTCTGTTGTCAGAAAAGCTTCCTGGTCAAGATCCTGCTTTTCAGGAGGTTTGTGGCCAACACATAAATTCACAGTGGCAAATGATTAAAGTTACTTACCACGTCTTTTTAATACAAACATTATAATATGCAAGTGCAGGTGCCAGAACTGCCTCATACCAGACCAGAGCTGAATGAACAAGGATAACTTACTCTTCGAAGGAAGTTATTTTTAAAATTACACATTGCAAATGAAATCACAGAAGCTGTTTGTAAGCAAGTGGTATTATCAGAAAAGCAGCCCACTGATCCACAAGTTAAAACTAGAATCAGACTACTAAACCTGCATTTGAGAACATCAGCCTCTTCTGCAAACACAGATAACTCTTCTTCCACTCTGGTTTATTAATCTAATTTAATTCAATGACCAGTTCATTCAAAGTTGAAACAGTATGGGAGCTGATGGAAGAGAAAATTACCTTTTTCTTCATCAAACCTTTGAAAGAAGTTGAAAGAGGAGATGATCTGCTATCAAAATAACCCCAAGGGAAAGGATAGTGTGTGACAATCTGCTCAATTCACTACATTAGAGGTGATGCACTATTTGTTTCAGGTAAGACATATTCTGACCAACTTAATTGAATATATTGACGAAAGAAGTCTAGCTTAGCTAAGAGAAGTTTAAAACTTTCTGCATTTACAACTGAATAAAAAACACAAATAGAAAATTAATAACCTAGGAGGAAACCACAAACACATAATTTACTATTTGAATTCTGCTTTTTTATTTTTAAATCAGAGTAACTGCTGAATAGCTGTACAAGTCTAATGTGTTTTACTAAAACAGTTAGTTTAGTTTACTAGTTAGTTTAGTTAGTTTACTAAAACTAAAACTCCTGAGGAGCCAAATTCATTTAACCAAAGGAGGAATTAAAAAAAACCACGCAGCCAGAACATCTGCAGACAGATGGGGTGGAGGTGGCAGGCTGCACTTCCCACCCACACCATTTTTTTTCTTTTATCTTTTTTTTCCTTTTATTCTTATTTCAAATGAGTCTCTGTTCCTTCCATTTTTTTCTCTGAACATCCTCTCCGCTACAGTCGCCTTCTTCACTAGAAAGCTAGACTTCTCCTTTCAGACTCCATCTTACCTTTCAAATTCCCTCTTCCTCCAAAGCAGTAGCTTCTCACTTTGCTAAATCTACACCACCACCGCTGCTTCCTCATAACTGTTGCCAACAGAAACAATACACTTTGTTTTTCACAGTTGACCACCTTCTCAACATCTCAAATTTGTCTGGCCACAGCAATTTTAAAGGGTCTTGCAGGTCATTTCTGATAGAGCAGGAACAACTCTCTTACATACCTAGCCTTTTCCTCCTCCTCCTCAATTAGCACAAATCCAGTTTATAGTACATTCACCTATTCACATTATTCTATCTCATCTATTCAGATTAGCAAACTCTCCATCTAAAGGTACCTGTCCTCTGCATTGATTAAATTCCGAGCCCTATCACCACAGAGGTTCTAGCCAATATCAGATCTGTACTGGGTACAGTAAATAAAAATACCTATGTTCTGAAGTGAGTTTCTATACACTGAAGGTCTGCAACACCACCTGAGAACTCTTGCAGTTCTTCAGACCTATCTTTCCCCCTTGACCAAAAACATGATGAGAAGTAACCTACAGCTACATATTCTTTTGTTTCTTTGCGTTACCAGTTGAGACAGTGCACATTTCTGATAACACATTAAGCAGTATCACATGCAGTAATCCTACAACAAAAGCTGCATCAAGACTGCACATAAAAAAACCCCAGCGTTTGGTGGTATGTCTGCTTTTTACTTTGTGGTGTGTTTTTAAACTTCAAAATAATCATCCCTTATGGCTCTACTGCTCTCAAAGATAAATCAAAAGGTTTACAAATCAGCCTAACCTGGTTTCAAGCTTGAACTCTGCAAGTTTACTTCTGAGCTCATCTCTGGTCATTCTGTTGATATAACCATTGGTTATAGCTATTTCTTTGTAAACTGGATCACTGAAGTCATTCGAACTGGCAGTTGAGTTTTTCCCATTAGTTTCTTGATCACTGATCCTACAATGCTGCCTACCCTAGAAGAAAGAGAAATCAGAAGGTCATTTAAGAAGGCCAAGAAGCTAGAGCATTAAAATTTACAGTTTTGACACCAAAACGCAGTAAAACATCACACCGTTTCACTCATAATCAAACCGAGTGAACTAGCCTACAGATGGGTAAGAAAATCCATACTGATGCCTGCTGTGAAACACCATTTTCCTTCTCACTTTCATAAAAATCGACAGAATAAAGGGATACTAACGCACGTGTCTGAAGTCATGCCAAAGACTAGCTCTAAGAGACAAAACCTGAACGCGTGTCCCAGTTTCAACAGAAGTTAGCTCTCTGGTATGAGCTGGCAAAACCTTGACTGGCAGGAAGAGATTTCTCTCGGTACCTTAATTAACCAGAATCTACACTAACTGAAACATACGGACAGACAGATGACCAATACCGTGCAAAATAAACAAAACAATAAATTAAGAGGAAAAGCTAAAGGCACTTTGACTCTAAGCAGTTAGTCTCAGCCTTTGTGAGCAGAGCACACGGGGGGGCCGGCCTCCCCCAGGGCGCAGACGGAAGGGCCCGTGGCACCGGCGGCGCCCCCTCGGTAACGCGGCACTCGGCCCG